GATCAAATCTCCACGACCTACCCGTGCTGAGGCAACCGATGTGGCTAATGCTGTCTTGGATGGTACTGACTGCGTTATGCTTAGTGGGGAGAGTGCAGCTGGGGCTTATCCTGAGCTGGCGGTAAAAATCATGTCAAAAATCTGTATCGAGGCAGAGTCTTCACTTGACTATGGGGCTATCTTCAAGGAAATGATCAGGTGTACTCCTCTTCCAATGAGTCCACTAGAGAGTCTAGCGTCATCCGCTGTCCGCACAGCCAACAAGGCTCATGCAAAACTCATTGTTGTCTTGACACGTGGCGGGACTACGGCAAAGCTGGTTGCCAAGTATAGGCCTGCTGTTCCTATTCTATCTGTCGTTGTGCCTGTCTTGACCACAGATTCTTTTGATTGGTCCATCAGCGATGAGACCCCGGCTAGGCATAGTTTGGTATACAGGGGCTTGATACCGATTCTTGCCGAAGGTTCTGCAAAGGCCACTGACTCCGAATCAACTGAGGTGATTCTGGAAGCTTCCCTGAAATCAGCCGTAGCGAAAGGGCTGTGCAAACCTGGTGATGCTGTTGTGGCACTTCATCGTATTGGTGCTGCATCCGTTATCAAGATTTGCCTCGTCAAGTAATCTTTGTGTCAAAACTTTCCAATTTAGAAGATGGATTTGCATTCTGCTTTCTGGTCATGATAGTGCTGTGATATGCTAATTTCTAGTATCATTTAATGACAACTTATTGATTTCTATATTTCATGTTTATTCTATATCTGCCTCAAACACTGGATTAAAATAAGTATCTTTTTCTGCAGCAATACTTTTGTTGTGTAAGGGGAAAAGGATATAAAGGCAGTTCCTTTAAACTCTCTTGATGGATTTCGAATGTAGTACACTGGAGAGAATTCTGTAGGCAACTGATTTGTCATGTTCCTATACTTCTTTCGTTTTGAATATCAGTGAAAATAGCTACAGCATTTTCTACTCCTATGTTTACAGTTCTATTTACTGCACTCTATGGTTTGGCTGTTACAAGTTCAAAATGGAGAGGTTGGAGTGTACTTGAAATTAATAAATGGAAAATACTCAAAAAGTCTATGAAGGCAAACAAGAAAATGGTGTTAAAGCTGAAAACACCTTATTACTATGTATAGGTTTTTCTTTGTCTGATTACAAGCCTACCTCGGATTCATGATTTAAATTATATGTTTTTTTAAGGGTTTTAACATTAAACTCATTATAATTTTAAAGTTATGGGTTCATGTCTACTATTTTTGTATTTTTAAAGAATTTTTATATATAAATTTTTGTTTCGCGTAAAAAGTTACGGGTTCAGTTGAACCCATCATTAACACACTACATCTGCTCCGGTATATTACTAAGGTGAAATAACGGTCGCTCTAAGAAAAGTTTCATAGAATAAATTAAGCCAACAGAAGAACACTAATTTCCTTCTTTAATATCTCATCCTTCTTGCCATGAATCTTCCAAAATCAGACAAGAGTATTCCCAAAATATATCTACTTTAGTAAGCTTGATGCTAAAGACTAATGGTGAATTAAGTTTCTTGCGAATGAAGCTAGCGTTTGGACATAAATTTGATTGAAACTTGAAAAAAGAGTTTTTGAAGTTGTGTTGCAAAATAATTTTGAAAGTTGAAGTTGTGTTGGACTCTGGACATGTATTTTATTTTAAGAAAAATTGAAGTTTTGTGAGTGGAAGAAAAATTTTCACCTAAAAATTGTCTTAAACCAGTTTTTGGGAACTTATAAACTTTTGAAATTTTTTTCTAGAAAACATGATCCTATTTCATAAACATACAATATATATATATATATTTTAAATTAAGCCAAAATCTATGACCAAAACGGGAGCAAAAGTAAATTCAGCCAAAAGGAGGATTAATAAGAATCCGACTTCTATAGGATGATATTTTTGACACATCCTTCATGACTCGCCGTCTCATATCCGACTTCTGGTTTTCTTCTTTTTTTTTTTTTTTTTTTTTTTTTTTTTTTTTTTTTTTTTTTTTCACGGCTTCTTTACTAGTGTATTTTTTTTATTGTCATACTTATGTTTACTTTGAGTGGAGTGTCTATTGAGAATAGTCTCTCTATAAGGTAGAGGTAAGGTTAGGGGCGGCTCAAGCACACATAGGGCCTAAAGCCACAGTTTAATATAAGACCCAAATTTTTAAAAGAAAGTTATAAGATACGTTTTTATTTGAAGTCTATTCTTCTAACTTTTTGAGATATAAAGTTGTTAATAATTTTTTTTGTAATCGATTTTTCTAATAATTCATGCCCGATTGATAATATAGCCAACCTATCTAATCTTTCTTGAGATATTATTGTTTCTAGATAAGATTTTACAAAACAAATAAAAGTATAGAACTATTGGAAGCTTAAAAGTATTGTTGAACATTTGAAATAGTGAAATCTTGGAGAAAGAAGGTGAGTAATGAAATCTTGGAGAAAGAAGTGAGTAAGAATATAAAAGAGAAACACGAAAAACATGTAGGGTTTTCTGAAATATGAAGAAATTGAAAAAAAAAAGAAAGATTAACTTGGATAAATTAAGGAAAGAGCAGATTTTTTTAATGGAGTGAAAAATGAAAAACTAAAAGTTATGAAAACTATTCATCTACACATTTTTTAAGTAAGTCAAAGTATTATTTTATTTATATATCTAAAAAAATTTCTTTCCTTTATATTAAAAACTCTAATTTTGTATTAAAAATACTAAATATTATTTTTTAAATACATAGGAACCTATTATTTTAAAAAAATGGCCCCCCTAAATTTGGGCCTAAGGCTTTTCGTCGTTATACAATAAAGAATTTAACAATGTGATACAAATATGTTAGGTATAACATGCACTCGTGGAAAATCCATGTAATTTTTATTTTTTCCTCCTCCATTCTTTCTTTTCTAATCCTATCATGTTTTTGCTTGCGTTCTTCTCTCTAAAATCATGAAATACAAAAACAGAGAAGAAATTGGGTTAATGGTAGTTGAGATGAGATACGACTGGACCTATGAATTGGTCTTGTGGATGGGAAGTCTGAAGAGATGAAGTGCTCTTGTATTATGAATTGATGGAGATGAGCTTCCGGATGATGGCAGTTCGTTCACATGGCAGTGCTGGTGAAGTGTTTGTGAGAATGTCTCAATGAGGAAAAAATGGAGAATTGGAGAGGGATGATTGTGGGTCTTCAAAGGTAGTCGATGCGAATAGAGGAAGAGAATAGTCCTTTCATTTTGAGAGAAACAAATGGATCAATCAATCAATCATGCCTCAATTTCAAAAATTTCCAGGTATGTTCTATATCTATACCTCAATTTCAAATTTACTGAGGTATGTTCTATATATAGCTTTTCTTGGTTACCATATTCATTGCGTTCTTTTATCTTGTCAAGCTTACATTGATCTCAATTTGAAGTGTAAATGGTCGGTTTGGTAAGCCATTTATTGATTCTGGTCAACCCTTGGAAAACTTAAAGGTTTTATATTTGATCATTTGTGATGTGTCAATTCCACTTCATCATTTATTTTTCTTTTCTTGAACGTGTATTCACAGTACATATGTAAACTAATTGATCAATGGAAAAGGTTAGCATGATTTGACATGCATTGAAATAGAGATGCATGTTGTGATTCTCGGATCAATATGAAGATTATTTGGGAGGAAAAACAACTCTATTTCACAAG